GAAAGAGAAGAAAAAGAAGAAGACGAAAGAGAAGAAAAAGAAGAAGACGCAAAAGGAAGAACGGGACGGAATAAAAGAAAATGAAACGAAGAAGACAGCCGAGAAAGAAGAATAAAACTAAGAATAAACATGAGAGGAAGAAGAAGCTAATGAAGAAAACTAAAAAGTAGGAGATGGAGAAGAAGAGAAAGAAGAAGAAGAAAAAAAAAAAGAGTAAAAAATCGGAAATACGTAATCTTTCTCATCAGCATACGGCGCGAGAGGGATTTTGCCTTCGGAGTTACGACGGTCGTAAACCAACTGGTCTTCCATTATCTCTCCCTTGCAGCATCTCCGAAAAGTCCCTCTATACCTTTAAAACGCTTCCCCTTCTTCTTTGTTATTATTGTTATCTTCTTGGTTAAATATGGTATTTTTTCCTTATCTGTAGCCTTCTTTATTCTATTTTTATTTAATCATTTTTTTATCTGAGTTTAGGTTGGCCAGACGTGTTTATTTTTTGCATTATTTATTGGGATGTTTGTCTTTCTGTTGCTGTTGTTTTTGTTCTTTCTCTCTCTTTCTTCACTAAAGTCTACCTCTGACTTCCATATCTCACGCATCTCCTCATGTTCACTCTCCTCATTCCTGCTCCTATTCTCCCCGATCCGCCTCAACCTTTCACTCAAAGCCTGGAGCTCCCTCATCGTCCCCTTCACCCACCTTGAGTCCCACTCCCGAATCTGCGCCCGAGTCGTAGCCAGGGTGTATGGACGCGGTGGACACGGGCAGAAAAGGAGGCAGCGGCGAGTCCCACTGAAACCCCTGGTACCGCTGCCCCTGCCCTTGTTGCTGCTGCTGTTGCTGCTGCTGCGTTTGCTGGGACTGCTGCTGCTGCTCCCTGCTCTCCCTCCGCCCGCTTCGGCCGCTGCGGTTCTCGGAACTCTTGCGCGCCGGGGACTTGTTCTTCAGGCTGCCGTTGGACCGCTCCGAGTCCATCTTCTGAAAGGCCTTGGCGCTCTTGCTGTCCGCCTGCTTGCCCGCCTCCGTGCCGTGGTGGCCCTCCTGCGAGTGCGCCGCCTTGCCCTCTTTGCCGGCCTTGCCCTCCTTGGACGCGGAGCTCTTGGAGTCCTTCGACCTCTCCCTTTCGCGCTGGGACTTCTTGTCGCTCTTCTCCGAGTTCTTGCTCGACGATGTGGGCGACTTGGAGCTGGACTTTGAGCTGGATTTGCCGCTCTTCTTCGAGCTCTCCTTCGGGGAGCCCTTGTGCCTCGGGCTGCCGAAGAACCTGCTCCAGCTCAGCTTGCTCGAGGTGGAGTTCTCGTCGCCCTCGGCCTCGTCCTTGGCGAAGGCGCCCGACTTGTTCGACGACTTGGAGAGGAGCCCCAGCTTCTTCTTCCTCTTCTCCTTCTTCACCTTCACCTGCTTCACGTTGCTCTCGTCGTCCGACAGCGACGCCCCGTTGCCCGGCAACCGCTCCTGCAGGGCGACCACCGCCGTCGCTGTCGCCACGGCGTCCGCGCCCTCCTCGACGGGCGCGGCGACGGCCTGGGGCTCCGAGCGAGCGAGCTCCCCGTTCAGGTTGGGGTTGGAGGCGCCGTCGGGCTGCCGGAGGGCGGTGAGCGTGGAAAGACTGACGTAGTTGCTGGGGAGGTAAGGCATGATGTCACTCTGGATGTCGTAGAGCGGGTCGTTGACGTCCTTGGACACCTCGGAGGCCGTGTCCTCGCCGCCCTCGTTCTTGCCCTCGTTGGCCTCGCTCTGGAGGGCGATCTCCTCCGGCAGGAGCGACTTCCAGTTGAACTCGTACTCGCCGCCGAGCTTGAGGCTCGTCAGAGTTCCTTCCTGACTAAAAAACGGCTGCGGAAGGACCTTCGGCTCCGGCTCCTCACCGCCTTCGGAGACGCTCGAGTCGTCCTCGCTCACCTCGGAGGGCTCCTTGAGGGCCGAGGGCGAGTGGATGGAGGTCCTCCACCTCGGGGCTTGCTTGGCCAGGTTCCTGTAGAGCTCGTGGAGCTGCTGCAGTTCCTCCAACCGCTTGGCGAAGTAGTGGGTTTTGGCCGTGAAGTTTGGGTCGTTGATCATCTGCTCGTAGCGAGACGCAGGCTTGTACTCCAAGCCAAGGGCGGCGTCCTGCGGAGGAAATCAAAGTTGAAATAATTGCATTTGGTAAGATAACACAAACTATCATTACGGGATGAATATACTTCATATTTATTGGTACAGCGCCTACGTGGACCAAACAGATTGAATTCCTAATTGTTCGCAGGACAAATAAAAGCAATGGAAATGACATGCTCCTCTCTCCTACGCCCAGAGAGACGGCCCCACTCCTCGGCCTCCCCCTTCTCAACTCTTCCCAAACCCTCCCCTCCCCACCCACTCAAGCCCGTGGCAAAAACGCCCAAGAACAACGAACCTGCTCCTCCATGAAGTTATTATTCGTCTTAACAGCATCTTCGGCGACTCTGAGAGGCTGGAGAGATTCTTCCTTCGCCTCCGACTGCGCCCTCAGAGACATCTGTGGGCGAGATGGGGAACTTTGTCAGACGAATTCGTGTGCTTAGGGATACCTTATTTTCTATTCTTTAATGATCAGCGGAAGTGGTTTCAAAAGCAATAGCTTGAATGGGTAATGGCTCTCATTGATAATAGACACACATACACACACAAACGTGGTAACAACACACACACAAACGTGGTAACACACAACACACACACCACACACACACGCACACACACAAAACACAACACATCGACCCACCCTACGCAAGCACACACCCCTCCTTCCCCCTCCCATCCCCCGAACCGCCCTTCTTCTCCTCCATGCTTACCACACTCGCCGCCTCCGAGGACTCAACTCCCGCAGTCTCCGAAGGCACCTCCGACGGGTCCTCCTGAAGCGTCGGAAGGAGGTGACGGTGCGGGAGGAAGGGGATGAAGTGGACACCAGCCTCCGCCAGAGTCCTTTCGATATCCTCCTCGGTCACCTGCAGGAGGGAGAGAAGGAGAGAATGAGAGGGAGTTAGTGGGTGTGGGAGAGAGGGAGGGAGGGGGAGAGAAGGAGAGAGTAGAGGGGAGTTAGTGGGTGGGAGAGGGAGAGGGAGTAGGAGGGTGTGAGAGAGGGAGGGAGGGAGGAGAGATGGCGTTAGATGGTGTAGGAGAAGGAGGGAGGTATAGTGAGAGGGTTAGGAGAGGAAGGGGGTAGGGAGAGAGAGGGAGTAGGAGGGTGTGGAGAGAGGGAGGGAGTGAGAGGGTCTGGGCGAGGGAAAGAAGGAGAGAGCGAGAGGGAGTAGGAGGGTGCGGGAGAGGGAGGGAGAGATAGTGAGAGGGTCTGGGCGAGGGAAAGAAGAAGAGAGCGAGAGGGAGTAGGAGGGTGTGCGAGAGGGAGGGAGAGATAGTGAGAGGGCTGGGAGGGAAAGAGGTAGGAAGAGTGAGAGGGTGTGGGAGAGGGTGTGGAAGAGAAGTAAGGAGAGTGGGAAAGTGTAAGGGGATTAGGAAGGGGAGAGAGGGAGAGCGAAATGGGAAAAGGGGTATGAGAGAGGGAGGAAAAGGAAATATAGGAAGCACAAAGGAAAAAAAAAGACGATAAGAACATAAAGAATAAAGAAACAAGACAGGACATATTTCCTCCTTCACTTCGTTATTATCAGACAGACACTCCGACTTGCCCTCCGGTGTCTTCCAGTTCCCGCTGACCTTTTCCAATCCAACTTATAATGTATAATTCCTCACAGATTCCTTGTAGTGAACAGTGGAATGACTACAATGTAAATAGTTTTAGTTTTGTATGTAGACTCCATTGCCTGCAGTGTATGAACGAGAGAGTGAGTGAGTGAATGTGTGTGTGTGTGTGTGTATGTGTGTATGTGTGTGTGTGTGTGTGTGTGTGTGTGTGTGTGTGTGTGTGTGTGTGTGTGTGTGTGTGTGTGTGTGTGTGTGTGTGTGTGTGTGTGTGTGTTGTGTGTGAGTGTGTATGTGTTGTGTGTGTGTGTGGTGTATGTGTGTGTGTGTGTGTACATGAGCATATGTGTTTCCAAATCTACGCAACACACGTCAGTTCTCTTAACAAACAAAATCTAAATGTATTCCCTCCCTCCCTTGCCTTCCCTTCGAATAATCTGATAATGATGAATAAACAATGGAAATGCTTTTAGCCAAAAGACAAGCGTAATTTAAGCTTAAACATTTCCAGGGCTGATCTGTAGTGAAGCAGAGTGTAGCTAGATCAGCAGACAAAAATTTTGCTTGCAACCATAAGATTTGAATAATAGAGGAGCAAATGGAATCTTGCTAACTGAGGGAGTTAATTTTCTTTTAAGCTATGCTGTTCTTATTATCATATTAAGTTACAATTATCATTAGCATGATCAATATTGTTATTATTGTCATATATATATATATATATATATATATATATATATATATATATATATATATATATATATATATATATATATATATGTGTGTGTGTGTGTGTGTGTGTGTGTGTGTGTGTGTGTGTGTGTGTGTGTGTGTGTGTGTGTGTGTGTGTGTGTGTGTGTGTGTGTGTGTGTCTGTGTGTGTAGAAATATCTCTCTGATTATTCACTTATCTATCTATCCATCTATAGAGAAGGTAAGAGAAGAGAAGAGAAGAGAGAGAGAGAGAGCAGAATCGACCCAACACGCTTTCGACTGCATCACGTGTGTCGCCAGTGATTATCTGAACTCCTCCTCGGGCGGACACTCGTGGCTACTGGCGCAAGCGGGGTTCAGCGCGGCGTCCAGTATGCGTCAGACTCCCTCCTTCTTATTTCTCTTCCTAGATATTTCAGCGGTCTTAATGGGTCTGCCCACTGGCCCAACACCAAAACTAAAAACTTGAAAAAGAGAGAGGGAGAGAGAGGAGAGAGAGAGAGAGAGAGAGAGAGAGAGAGAGAGAGAGAGAGAGAGAGAGAGAGAGAGAGAGAGAGAGAGAGAGAGAGAGAGAGAGAGAGAGAGGAGGGAAGGAGAAAGAGAGAGAATAAAGAGAAGGAGTTCTGAGAGAGTGAGGGAAAGGAGGGAGAGAGGAAGGGAAAGAGAGAGAGAGAGAGGGGGGGTGGGTGGAAAGAGAGAGAGGAGAGAGGGACTATGAAGAAGGTTGAAGAGGTGAGGAGGAAGGAAGGGGAGAGGGAGGGAGCCAGAGGTGGGGGAGGAGGCGAGAGGGAGGGAGGCAAAGGAGGATGGAGAGGGTGTGAGGGAGGGAGGCAGAGGAGAAGGGAAAGGGTGAGAGGGAGAGAGGCAGAGAAGACGGGGACAGAGCGGGATGAATAAGGAAGAGGAAGGAAAAAAGACGAGCAAGAAGGAGGTGAAGTAGAGATGGTGGTGGATGGAGGGAAGAAGGAAATAAAAACGAAAATAAAAAAGGGAAGAGGGAAACTTAGAGGAATAGAGAGAAAGCGAGAAAGAGGAAAAGAGGAGAAATGAGATGAAGGAAGGAGGGAAGGAGGAGAACGGAGGGAGTAAGAAAGAGGAAGATAGGAAGAGGGAAAGGGAAAGGTGAGAAGGGAAAGAGGGAGGAGAGAGAAACAAGAATGGAGGGAAGAAAGTAGAAAGAGGGAGAAAACAGAAGGATGAAAGGAAAGGAAAAGGGAAGAGGAAGGAGGGAGATAACAAGATGATGAAGGGAGGAAGGAGGAAGGAGGAGGGAGAATGGAGAAAAAAGAAATTAAGATGGAAAAGGGAGGACGGTCAACGAAGAAAAAAAATAGCCTAGAGAGAACGGAGAGAAGAGAAAGGAAGGAAGAGAGAGGACAGAGAAATAAAGGTAAAGGAAAAGAGAGAAGAGAAAAAAAGAAGGAAGGAGAAATATGCGAAAAAACAGCCAAGAAGGAGGGAAGGAGAGAAGAAAACGCAACTATCAGTACAGAGATCGCATCTCATCGGGATAAGGAGATCAGAGAACAACTAGGATATACGTACGTTATGGAAGAATAGGGACATACGTAGGCTGTGAAGGGGAGTCTACCTACACCGTAGCTTGAGCGACATTCGCGCGATGGCCGGGGTGTCGGTTGGATCTGTCTCTGGGTCATTCACTCTATATCTTCACGCAGTCACCCACACTCAATCTTCTCAACTCAATATTGATCCTCTTGTCGAACAGAGTATAAAATTATGTGATAGGATGAAAAGGACGCACCACGTGTGTTGTATGAGCAGCATGAACAAAACATATTTTTCGCATAACCTAAAAAAAAAAGTCGGCAATAAACAAAAGAGACAAAAGAATATAGCATATACTGTCAGAGACGAGAGGACAAATCGAATGCAGAAACATATCGGAGAGTTCATTATCTTCCTTCCTGCTCTATTGAAAGCATAATTCTCTGCTATCTCTACGTAATCCTCCATTCCGCCGTTCCGACTCTTCTTTTCCTCCCTCATTTTTTTATTTGTCTCCTCTCTCCCTCTTCTCAGCATTCGTCTGTCTCTCAACATTCTTTTCTCGGCTCTCTAGCACTCTCCGTCCTTCTCCCCCTCCCCTCTTCTCTACATTCTTATTCTCCTCTCTCTCCTCCTCTATTCTTCTTCATTCTCTCCTCCCTTCTCTCCTACTGTTCTTTTTTTTCTTTTCTCTTCCCCCTCTTTCTCTCTTACTCTTCTTCCTCCTAACTCCCTTTTATGTCAGCATCGTCTCTCCCACCGTCTCTTTTCTTCCTTCCTTTTTCTTACTCTTTCTCTTCCCTTTCTTTCTCTCTCTATGCTCTCCTTCCCTCTACTCTCTCTCTCCGACCATCATCTATGTAGTTTTTTGCGTTGGGAAGATCGAGGGTCTATACTTCAGATCCTCATAAAATACTCACCTTCTTGGGCTTTTGTGCGTCTCGCTGCCTTAATACTCTTCAGAATTATTCTTACGTACCTGTTCATGTTCAGCGAGACTCGTCCTTCTTGATATTTTTATTACTTTCTAGTCGACTCTTCCTTTCTCCATGCGCGTACTTATATGCGTTATATCCTAACTTCTCGTTCTTACTTGTGTTGGCTTGTTCACCACTTATATCTTCCTCTTTCTCCTCCTCCCTATTATTCTTCTTCTTTTCTTACTCTTCCTGACTTTCTCTCATTCTTTCCTTTCATTTCTTACTCTTCTACTTTGCTCTTCTCTGCTTCTCTCTTACATTCTTCTCCCCTACTCCCCTTTCCCTCCTTACTTTAACCCATCGTCCGTCCAAAAGTAGTCCGCTAAATCACAAAAGTTTCTGATAGGCGGTTTGTTATCCTTGCTCATGCTTAACACTGCACTAACCCCTCTCCCCCCTTCGCCCTTCCCCTTCCTATTGCTTGCTGAACCCTTAGGTCGCTTCCCTTTCTTCTAACCCCTCTCTCCCTTCCCCACTTCCCCTTCCCCCTTCCCCCTTCCCCCTTCCCCCTTCCTATTGCTTGCTGAATTCCAAGGTCCCTTCTCCCTTCTTCTAACCCCCTTCCCCTCCTCCCCTCCTCCCTAGGTCCTCCTCCCTTCTTCTAACTTCCCCTCCTCCCCTCCTCCCTAGGTCCC